CCCCAAAACCCCAAAACCCCAAAACCCCGAGATAAGACTTCAGCATTGAAATTTATTTTAATTTGTTCCATAACTTAGCGAACTTGTCTGTTATCAGTATTGTTTCAGAACATTCTTGGGATTTTGTTATAGGATTGTCTGAATTGGTATTTTCTAGATTTTCTGTTGGGTCAGATCTTTCTGATGGAGGATTCAGGCGAATAGAAATGTTCTTGTCAATGTTGCTTTTAGCAAACTCTTTAGACATCTCAATAATCTCAGGGGTTGCTTCTGAAACTGAGATGTCAATATCTAAATAATGTAAGTCGCAGATAGCTCCAAGTAAGGACTTAAAGACTGAGTTTACATCTTCAATCTCAGAAGCTCTGATCTTGACAGAGGTACCATTAAGAGTAGTCTGATGTTCCAGAAATGAAATTAACGAGAGTATCAAATCCTCGTTGCTGATTTCATAACCAATCTTGAGTTTCTTTAAGTTCAAATTCTGAAGAGCTTCAAAGGATACTTCATTGTTCTGTTCTTGCTGGTCACTTTCAGGCTCAGGATCAATGATTTCTACTCCGACTTTTATGAATTTAGGCAGGTTTTGGAAAATCTCGCAAGTGCACTCTTTACTGAGATCAATAGGAGAAATCTTTATTTTTAATTCTGACAGTTTCTGAATTGAACCTACAGAGAGTATTTTTCTTAGGGATCCAAAATCTCAGCCGAGAGATTTGATTTCGTCTGTAGGGATATAGATCTTTATGTCTTCGGATGAGGATTTGTGCTCCTCGAGGTTATTAAAACTCGCTTTTTCGTAGACATTTGCTTTAAAATTGTTATTATTTGATCCGAATACAATACAATTATTGTCAATCGTACAGTCGTCCATGGCTTCTAACATGAAATCGGTCATTTCCATAGTCCAGTTGCTGTAGCCAATCAAGCATTTGTCTCCTTCTATCAAAGACTTCATGGTCTTTCTGTTAATTGTTTTAAGGAAAACTAATTGGATTGGGAATCCTTTATTGTTTAGCACATTTGATAAAGTTGGAATTAAATCAAGATCGTTGGGCTGCATGGTCTCACTCTGATCTTTAAATAACCTTTTACAGTAAAGCCAGAAAGTTGGAACAAAACCTCTCTGACAATCTTCAATAGTTGTGTGATTATCTAATATTTCTGAGAGCTGGGGAATACAATCCTTATCTCTCACAATATTCTCATGAGACGGTCGTATATTAATGGAAGAGTTTTTAATTTCTTTTAAAAAAGTTTCCATGGTCGTAATCTCGAATAATTTCCTGAATCACTCTACAAGTTCAGGAAGATCAATGAAACCATTTTGTAATTTTCCAATCAAATCTTGTTCACTTTGATTATTTGGGGATTCCCAATCGTATGAGCAAACATAAAGGTTTTTAGTACTATCAACTCAACGTGTTTCCGAAACTCAAAAAGGTGGGTACTTAAATTTATAATAAGTTGCTTTATCAACTTTATACTCTCTCACTTCGATCTTAAGAGCTCTAGAAATTGTTAAAAGCCATTCAAACTCAGGAATTGTGTTTATGCAAACAAAAACATTTATCTTTTTAACTTTTAACAAATCTAAATCCACTTTTTGTCAGAAATCTGCAATAGTTTCAATACCTAGGAGATCCTCATCATCAAACCAAAAGTTAAAAGAATATAGCTTATAAGCCCCTGAATGTGCCAGATTCATGATTTGTGAATAATAAGAAATAGCTTTATCACCAGAACTTGAAGGGCCTTTAAAATTCTTGATCAGTAAAATCCTCTTCTTCATATGGAATACTTCTTCCTCCTTGTCATTAGTGAAAGGCTTGAGCCACTGGTCTTCATTAGAAAGCCAGAGCTGTCTGGACTCCGACCTGAGCTGTGTCATTAGAGTTTTGCATTGATCGGCATATCCAAAATAAGGAAGGACCTTTATTGCAAGGGAGAGAGTTGTTAATAATGGTATGCTTTTACCTTCTGCTTCTGATACAGCCATAATTTCTCCTAGATTCGTGCCTGGGTTACTTTCCATATTTTATTATTTTATTATTATATTATTATTAAATAATTTTATTTTTATATTATTCTACTTTCTGCTAAGAGCTGGGGTTTTGGGGTTTTGGGGTTTTGGGG